ACAAGACCTTCTCCATCGACTCCCACTGATGTCTGCTGCCGTTGTGTCCTTGGGCAAGACACACTTAACCCCACTTTGCCTGAAGCCCCCGCTGAAAGATCAAGGCTGTGCTCTTATTGATTAAGGAGAATAAAATGTATGGATGGATGTGGTAACTTTTCCAATTTGATAAAACATTTAAATATAAAAAAATATAATAATAATAATAAAACTTTAAAATGATGTGTCGTTGTAAAAGTTAAAATGGCAGAGATTGTTTGTAGGGTAATAATAATAAACAACCACATCTTGTGCTTCTTCAAACTAAGAGAAACCCGTAATAATCTCAGAGGTGTAGTTTTTTTTCAATCTGCTAAAGCAAGAACTAGATGTAGAATGGGATAGGCTCGAATAAGCTGCTTCTGCCTGTCACTTTTTTAATCATATCCTTGAACTGTAATTTTGTTGATGTGACAACCAAAATATAATCACTCAATCTCTTGCTTTAATTTAGCCCCCGCCCAAAATGAGTTTGACCTCGGAGTCAGTCCTCAAAAGACAAAAAAGGATTTTATCGCTGTACCATTGAAAGTTTGCTGGTTGGTTCTGTGTCTGTGTGGTTCAGAAACATCACAGACAAAGAAAGGAGACGTCTATACAAGGTGTACCGGTCTGAAAGAGGACTGTGGGACCAGAGAGGGACCAGAGAGGGACCAGAGAGGGACCAGAGAGAGACCAGAGAGAGACCAGAGAGAGACCAGAGAGAGACCTCAGAGAGACCAGAGAGAGACCAGAGAGAGACCAGAATGAGACCAGAGAGAGACCAGAGAGACCAGAGAGAGAGACCAGAGAGAGAGACCAGAGAGAGACCAGAGAGAGACCAGAGAGAGACCAGAGAAAGACCAGAGAGAGACCAGAGAAAGCCCAGAGAGAGAGACCAGAGAGAGACCTGAGAGAGACCAGAGAGACCAGAGAGAGACCAGAGAGAGACCAGAAAGAGACCAGAGAGAGACCAGAGAGAGACCAGAGAGAGAGACCAGAGAGAGAGACCAGAGAGAGAGACCAGAGAGAGACCTGAGAGAGACCAGAGAGAGACCAGAGAGAGACCAGAGAGAGACCAGAGAGAGACCAGAGGGAGAGACCTGAGAGAGACTAGAGAGAGAGACCAGAGAGAGACCAGAGAGAGACCAGAAAGAGACCAGAGAGAGACCAGAGAGAGAGACCAGAGAGAGAGACCAGAGAGAGAGACCAGAGAGAGAGTGACCAGAGAGAGACCAGAGAGAGAGACCAGAGAGAGACCTGAGAGAGACCTGAGAGAGACCAGAGAGAGACCAGAGGGAGAGACCAGAGAGAGAGAGACCAGAGAGAGACCTGAGAGAGACTAGAGAGACCAGAGAGAGACCAGAGAGAGACCAGAAAGAGACCAGAGATAGAGACCAGAGAGAGAGAGACCAGAGAGAGAGAGAGACCAGAGAGAGAAACCAGAGAGAGAGACCAGAGAGAGAGACCAGAGAGAGAGACCAGAGAGAGAGACCAGAGAGAGACCAGAGAGAGACCAGAGAGAGAGACCAGAGAGAGACCAGAGAGAGACCAGAGAGAGATACCAGAGAGAGACCAGAGAGAGACCAGAGAGAGACCAGAGAGAGAGACCAGAGACAGACCAGAGAGAGACCAGAGAGAGAGACCAGAGAAAGACCAGAGAGAGAGACCAGAGAGAGAGACCAGAGAGAGACCAGGGAGAGAGACCAGAGAGAGAGACCAGAGAGAGACTAGAGAGAGAGACCAGAGAGAGAGACCAGAGAGAGAGACCAGAGAGAGACCAGAGAGAGAGACCAGAGAGAGACCAGAGAGAGAGACCAGAGAGAGAGACCAGAGAGAGACTAGAGAGAGAGACCAGAGAGAGAGAGACCAGAGAGAGAGACCAGAGAGAGAGACCAGAGAGAGAGACCAGAGAGAGACCAGAGAGAGAGACCAGACAGAGAGACCAGAGAGAGAGACCAGACAGAGAGACCAGAGAGAGACTAGAGAGAGACCAGAGAGAGAGACCAGAGAGAGACTAGAGAGAGACCAGAGAGAGGGCTGTGAGCTTCCTGTTCTGGAGGCTCTTTATGAATCCAGACCGAGCTCTTAAAATCATCAATGACTCCTCTTGCCACCCTGGTAAAGCCATGTTCCAGCTTCTTCCCTTGAGCAGAAGATATCAGTCGCTGATATGCAAGACATATCCCTATGCTAACAGCTTCTTTCCACAAGCTGTCAGGTATCTAAACAGAGCAATTTAATTGTTGCTTTTACCCCTTGTATCGTTTTTTTTTGTCGATCGGTGCCACAGTGTGGGGCTGTTTTTTATTTATATTCAGTGCACGAGTATGTGTATTTTAGTACCTTTTTTGCGAATGTATTCCAATGTGGTTTTTATACTGCACATGGCAAATAAAATGAATCTGAATCTGAACTGTTCCACGAGTAGTTCACTCTTGTATTTGTAGGCGACGTTTTCAACCAATTCTAATCTCCAAAGGGGTGCTGCTGTCTCATAACAGGACCTAGGTTCTAGAGGAGGGTCTAGACTGAGCTCTACGTCTGCCTGAAGGTCCCAAACAAAAGATAGTTAAACTTCTTAAATCTGTTTTCAGAGTCCTCAGTGTTAGCACGTCAGCATTAGCGTCACTAGCATTACGGTAAAGCGTTCGCAGGTTTACCGTCATGGATCTTGTTTTGGTCACAGCGTCTGAATAACCAGAATCAGCCGTGTTTGCGTCGTATCAATTTCATTTTCATGAATTTAAACAGGAGTGAACCAAAGTTTAAAACTGCGGGAGAGCAGGGACGCCTCCAATCCACAGACCAGAAGCAGGTCCAGGACTGAACCAGGACTGAACAAGGACCGAACTAGCTCTGACCCAAGACTGAACAAGGACTGAGCAAGGACTAAACCAGGACTGAACCAAGATTGAACCAGGTCTGAACCATGGAGCGAGGTGAGTCACGACCTTACCCTAACCCTTGATTAAGCAGAAGATATTTATCGTACAGTGCATGACTCAAGAGTAAGAGGGGTTTGGTTTACCTTTATGAGCCCAGGGTCAGAGCTCATCCAACATCATTGGGCAAAGGGTTCCATTTGCAAGGAGCCCCGCCCCCAGCCCCACATGAAGGATAGCAAGAAGGTTCATGTTTGAGGATCTGAGACTGAGACAAAGGAACAAGTTGATCTGAAAAGTACAACCTGACTGTAGAGGGTCCGGGCTTTATAGTCACTCCACCTGAACTGATCTTGGAGCAGACCCAGAGAACAGGAGTGTATATACTGTATATACAGTATATTAAAAAGTGACATCTACCAAGGAGATACTCTGTCCCCACTGTTGTTTAGCATAGGCCTGAACTCTCTAAGCCAAATAATCAACTAGACTGGCTCTGGATGCAGCCTCAGGAACGGAGCACAGATCGGTCACTTCCTCTAAATGGATTACATCAAGCTCCCTGATTCATATCATCGTGCATCCAGCACCTTGAGATAGTCCACAAGCCATAAAGAAGAAGGCCGAAGACCAGCTAGTGTGACAGTCACAGAACAAAATATCTAAACTCCATAACTACATCAAGGAGAAGATGTAGTGCCTCAGACTGAGACAAAATGATGAAGTGCTGGAGGAGAGCCCACCATAGAAGGACAAGCCCCTACATGACATGTACCGGCAGAGCATAGCAGAAGTGGCTGATCTCCAAAAGTCTTACCAATGGCTAGAAAGGGCTGGCCTACAGGACAGCACAGAGGCATTCATCATGGCTGCACAGGAACAGGCCCTGAGCACCAGAGCGACAAGGACACAGATATACCACACCAGACAGGACTCAAGGTGTCGGTTGTGCAAAAGAGGACCTGAGACGATCCAACACATAACTGCAGGGTGCAAGATGCTGCCGGGAAGGCCTACATGGAACGCCATAACCAAGTGGCTGCATAGTGTACAGAAACATCTGTGCAGAGTATGGGCTGGAAACCCCAAGGTCACGATGGGAAACTCCTCCAAAGGTGGTGGAGAATGAGAGTGCGAAGATCCTGTGGGACTTCAACCAGAAATTGTGGTGGTAGACAAAGGGTAGAGAAAAGCCATTTCCAAGCGATGGTAATATCAAGAAAAAAGAGTGTGAAAATCTAAGGAAATGCCAAGGTCTCAGAGAGGAGCTGGAGAGGGCCTGGAGGGTAAAGATGACAGCAGTGCCCAGGGTGGTCAGTGCACTCGGGGCAGTGGTTAGAGGTGTAGAGGTGGTTACAGCAGATCCCTGGAACCAGAAATGTGCAGTGCTAGGAACAGCAAAGATTACATATTTATATATATGTATATAAAAAAAATTGTCCACTCACCTTTGGCCCTCCGCGGGCAAAGTATCTTTGCTGTTCCTGGCACTGCACATTTCTGGGCCGAGATTTACGAGGTTGTTCCAGATTCAGATTCAGATTCATTTTTTGCCATTTGCAGTAAAACCACATTGGAAAAACAGTGTGCACCAGGGATCCGCTGTAACCACTCCTCCAGCTTCAGGGTCACTGCCCCGAGTGCACCATCACCACGGGCACTACTGTCACCTTTACCCTCCAGGCCCTCTGCAGCTCCTCTCTGAGACCTTGGTATTTCTTAAGCTTTTCATGTGCTTTTTTCCTGATATTACCATCGTTTGGACATGCCGCGTCCACCACCACGGCTGTCCTCTGCCCTTTGTCTACCACCACGATGTCAGGTTGGTTCATTACCATTCGGTCGGTCTGTATCTGGAAGTCCCACAGGATCTTTGCACGCTCATTCTCCACCACCTTTGGAGGAGTTTCCCACTTAGACCTTGGGGTTTCCAGCCCATACTCTGCACAGATGTTTCTGTACACTATGCAGCCACTTGGTTATGGCGTTCCATATATAATACATCAAATATATATATATATATATATATATATATATATATATATATATATATATATATAAACTGTATATATAAATGACCCTGACTTATGGGAACAAATGGGTATGAATCAGATCAAGGGTCCGGTTTACAGTTAGAGTTAAATGTAATGTCATGATTTCAGATGTGAGATGTTTGTTTGCAGCAATCCTATTGGCCGTCTTGTCTGCGGCCGTGAGCTCTCAGCCAATCACAGACACTCAGCGACTGTTCACAATCGCAGTCAGCCGAGTCCAACACCTGCATCTGCTGTCACAGCGCTACTTCAGCAACTTTGTAAGCTGCTACTACAACTATAAGTACTACTACCACAAGTACTATAACTACTACTGCTACTACAAGTATTACTACTGCTACAATTAGGTTATATATATATTATATATATACATATATTTACACTAGTACACACTTGTACTTATATGTGTGTACTAGTAGATGAACTACTTACTTATATTTGGATACTGCATTAGTACTCATACTTGTACTTATACCAATACTTGTGTACTTGTACTCCCTGCAGGAGAACTCTCTGGGCCCGGAGGAGAAGCGACTGCTCAATAAAGTTTTTCTGCAGGATTTTTGTAACTCTGATTACATCATCGGTCCCATCGACAAGCAAGGAACCCAGAGCAGCTCTGTGAGTACTGCTGATAGTACTGCTGCTTCTACAAGTACTCTAGTACTGCTGCTACAGTAGCCCGGTCCCATTAGTGTCCATCTGAGTGTGAGTGTGTGTGTGTCTGTAAACATATCTGTTGTGTGTATGTTGCTATATTTCATATGGTGTTGTGTGTCCTCAGCTCCTTGTGTATTTGTGAGTGTGTGTATATATAATATGTATATATGTATACTGTATATTGTGTGTTCTCAGCTCGTTTTCTTGTGTGCGTGTGTACTTGTATTTGTGTGCTATATGTATGTATATATATATATATATATATATATATATATATATATATATTATATATATATATACTATATGCATACATATACACTGTGTGTTGTGTCCTCAGCTCCCTCAGCTCCTCCTCGTCTCCTTGCGTCTCATTGAGTCCTGGGAGATTCCGTTTCGTTCTCTCTCAGTTTTGTCCAGAGATCAGATCTACACCAAACTGTCAGAGCTGAAGATTGGACTGGATCTGCTGATCAAGGTGAGTGGCCTAGGCCAGTGTTCCCCAACCTTTTAATCAGAGCTGACGTTGGCTGAATTACAAATGTTTACCATCTCACCAGCTACAGTAGCACCATAAACGGAAGTGACACAATCAAAAACCACGTCAGTACAGTGTGTATAAATAAAGTCAACAACTGATTTCCAGATGTTCCGGATTTTACCAACGGATCCTGTGTCATCCATCCAACTACAGTGAACTTCTGTTTATGATCGCAAAGACTACTTTGGGTTAGCAAGGCAGAGGGCCACATACATTGACACTGATGGCCGCAATTGGCCCCCGGGCCTGAGTTTGGACATGCCTGCCCCAGACCATAGAGCGCAGAACATAGACTGTAGACCCTAGACCATTGACCATAGCCCCTAATCCCTGGACCGCATAGCCAAGACCCTGGCCCATAAACCCTAGACTCTAAACCCCACATCCAAAATATTTTTTTCCAAATGTCCTAATTTGCGGTGAGTGCCGTGTCTGCAGGCGAATCAGGAGGAAACATTTGTGGAAGAGGGCATGGCTTTGGGCCCGTTTGAAGTCTATGATCAAAGGCTTTCCCCGGATCAGAATCTGCGACGATGCTATGAGCTGCTGGCGTGTTTCCGCAAAGACATGCACAAGGTAATACTACAGCTGACCACAGGGGGCAGACTTCCTCATTATTAGTTTAAATGTTAACAGTGAATTTTCTGTTGCAGGTGGAGACTTATCTGACTGTGGCCATGTGCCGCCTGTCACCAGAGGCCAACTGTACGCTGTGACCCCACTCTCTTCATGCTGTAGCCCCGCCCCTCTCATATTTACTTATGAATAAAGTAGTTTGTGGCATTGTGTCCCTTGTCTACGTTTGTTTGAATCATATGAGAAACAAATCTGAGCCGAGGGTTTTGGTCCAGTGTATCTTATCAGACATCAGACCCGATACCCAGTAACTGCATTTACTGCATGAACCCAAAGTTTTGCTGCAGTTAGCGTTTTAATGAGACAGGGTGTAATCATAGACTGTAATATTAAGACGTAGTCACGTCTATCTCCGCCTTTCTAACTAATGTGCCACAACTTCCGCGGTCTATGGGCAGTTCCAAAATGGCCGCGGGGACTGGAAAATGTGCGTCAGCCGGCACGAGCCCATTCATTTAACGAGTGCCTTCAAAAAAATCACAGGGACTAAGCTAGACTGGTGCAAAGAAATCCACTCCCCTCAGCATTGACACACATGTGGAACGGAGCTTCGGGCCAAGAGCCAAGTTTTGGACCATCCTGTAAAGACGTTTTCGAGAGGTCAGCTAATGCTATATGTTAGCAATGAATAATTCTCATTCCGGGTCCACCCCCATCGGCCCGGGGTGGTATTGCAAGCATGTCAGCGCACATCATTTTGGCCACTTTTGAGTGACCTCTGACCTCAGGTGGCCTTTGCAGTGTTTTAAATTAATAATCTGAATCTTTATTGTTGAATAATTTTATTCTTTATTTTGAGTAAAAACATAAAAAAAACTTCACAGAACGTCGTCGCTGTCATTTGACTGGAGCCGAGAGTCATCTGCGTCCGTCATTTCCTCCGGACCTTTAAAACAAATACACACACCACCTTTAACACAAAACACTGGTTACAGTCGTCTTCAGGGAGGTATGCTTGTGTGTTGCCATGGTTACAGTCATTGTCAAGGAGGTAGTGCTTGTGTGTTGCCATGGTTACCATTGTCATCAGGGAGGTAGTGCTTGTGCGTTGCCGTGGTTACCTTAGTTGGCAGGGAAGTAGTGCTTGTGTTCGTGTGTTGCTGTGGTTACCATTGTCATCAGGGAGGTTGTGTTTGTGTGTTGCCGTGGTTACCATTGTGATCAGGGAGGGTGTGCTTGTGTTTGTGTGTTGCCGTGGTAACCATCGTCATCAGGGACGTAGTGCTTGTGTTTGTGTGTTGCCGTGGTTACCGTCGTCGTCAGGGAGGTAGCGCTTGTCGATTGCTTCTTTGATCTGGTTGTTAGCTCCTTTAGGGTCCAGGTCCATGGCCCAGCTAAAGTTCATCAGAGCCAGGTGAGTGTGGCCCAGCTTCTTGTACACCTGCCACAGTAAACAGTAAGTCAACAACAGTAAACAAATAAACAACAAAAGACATGTTGAGATGAACTTCCTCGACGTCCCCTGCATTCTAAAAGGCCCCTCTCCATGGGGGGCACCACTGTGTCCTGTCACCGTTATAAAAGAGCGTCTCTGATCACTGACCCTGAAACCTCTGATGACCAGAGCCTCTAACACCAAGGGCCAGAGTCAGAGTGGGAGGGGCCTGTGTGAGTGGGCGGAACTCACCTTCCCGATGAGGAAGTAAACTAGAGACTCTTTGGGAACAATCTGTTTGAGCTCCTCCAGCTCTTGCAGCGCCGCCTGCAGACAGGAGGATGGAATTACAACTGAGAGACATCAGGCAGGTTTATTTGTAAAGCACAATTCATACACATCTCAAAGAGCAAACAAAAAAAGAGACATCAAAACAAACAAAGCAAGTAGAAATAATCACACTACATTTCACTTATTAGAGACATGTGCAAAACTACTCATTTTGTAGTAGTAATAGAAGTATTAATAACAGTAGTACTCAAACCTTGTACTTGTCGTTGGCGAACAGAATCGACGCCCGGTGGAATTTGCACAGAGGGTTTTTGGGGTCGATGCCGATGGCTTTGTTTAACGTCTCGAGCGCAGAGTCCGACTTCTTCAGGGCGTGTTGGACCTAGACCAGAACCAGGTCTAAATCAGGTCTTCAAGCAAGTCTAAAGCAGGTCTACAGCAGGACTACTGAAGGTCTAAAGCAGGACTACAGCAGGACTACTGAAGGTCTAAAGCAGGACTACAGCAGGACTACAGCAGGACTACAGCAGGACTACAGCAGGACTACAGCAGGACTACAGCAGGACTTACCACTCCAATGTGACACAGCAGAACTGAACTCTGCGGGTTGATGCTCAGAGCTTTTTTAAAGTGAATTTCTGCCAAATTAAATTTCTCCTGTTTGTAGTAGATCATCCCCAGGCCGTACCTGCACACAGGGTGAGACTGCTCAGTGGACAACAGGGGTACTGCAACTGTAGTAGGGTTACAGTAGTAGTCTTACAGTTGTAGTGTTAGCAGCAGAATTACAGTAATATTGTTACTCACCAGGCATTGTAGTGGCGGTTGTTGACTCGGATGGCGTTCCGGAAACATGCCAGAGCTCGGTCCAGTTCTTCAGTCAGAACAAACTCGTGTCCCAGCAGTGTGTAGGCATAGGCAAAGCTGGGCTCCACCTTAAGAAGAGAGAGAGTGAAGCCAAACAGGGCTACACCTTAAAGCTGCACTAACTCACTTTGAGACATTTTTGAATGCAAGCGCTGGCCTCGCACTTTTTGCTCACTTTCCCCGCACTCAAGGAGCTATCGCCCCCCACTCCACCTGTGCTTTTGTTTTTAAGGAGCTAGCGTCTCACAATATGGATCGCACATTTGAATGTGGATGGCGTGACCATAGCAGGATAGAACCGAGAAGCGCAGAGGAACAAGACTTTCTTTTGGATGGCTGTTTCGCTGTGTAAGCAGTAACCGGTAACGAAGACATGGGAAGTTTCAGGTTAGCCTCCGCCGCTAGTTTACCTCAGCTGTCTGTGCTAACGGGAGACCTGTGGCTTTTTCAAGAAAGTGGGGGCCAGTGGTCCGCTGTGATTGGTCACAATCTGGTCCCGAAACAAATTCTCTTCCTTGTTGCACAAAAACTCGATCTAAAATTAAATGACACGCCATCACAAATCTGCGCTACTTTTTCTTCAAAAGGACGTAAATCCAATGCACTGCATGGATATGGATTGGATTTTCGTGATGAATACAAAAATAAAGTGAGGTAATGCAGCTTTAGAGAAGAGAGAGAGAAAGGTCAGACTGGGCTCCACCTTAAGAGAAATGATGCGTTATTTTTGGCCTTTCAAAAAGGAGACGTTATGTCTTAAGTACTCTATCTATAACTCTCCCAGAGGGAGCAGCATCTGCAGTCAAAGCTCCCTGTAAATCCCTATGCTGCCACTAGAGGGGGCAGCGTCTCAGCACATGTGTAGTGTGTACATATGCGTATCCCTGCTTTGGTTATGCTACATGTGTATTTGTATACAGTAGACCATGGACAGGTCTAAACAGAGCTGCAGGTTGTTACCTGAATCGCTCTCTGGAAGAACTTGATGGCGATGTCGTGTTCTCTCTGTAAACTGAAGCAGTTTCCAGCCACACACCAGGTCTGAAACAGAGACCAGAGACCAGGACTGAAACAGAGACCAGAGACCAGGACTGAAACAGAGACCAGAGACCAGGACTGAAACAGAGACCAGAAACCAGGACTGAAACAGAGACCAGAGACCAGAACTGAAACAGAGACCAGAAACCAGGACTGAAACAGAGACCAGAAACCAGGACTGAAACAGAGACCAGAGACCAGGTCTGAAACAGAGACCAGAGACCAGGACTGAAACAGAGACCAGAGACCAGGACTGAAACAGAGACCAGAGACCAGGACTGAAACAGAGACCAGAGACCAGGTCTGAAACAGAGACCAGAGACCAGAACTGAAACAGAGACCAGAAACCAGGACTGAAACAGAGACCAGAAACCAGGACTGAAACAGAGACCAGAGACCAGGTCTGAAACAGAGACCAGAGACCAGGACTGAAACAGAGACCAGAGACCAGGTCTGAAACAGAGACCAGAGACCAGGACTGAAACAGAGACCAGAGACCAGGTCTGAAACAGAGACCAGAGACCAGGACTGAAACAGAGACCAGAGACCAGGTCTGAAACAGAGACCAGAGACCAGGACTGAAACAGAGACCAGGTCTGAAACAGAGACCAGAGACCAGGTCTGAAACAGAGACCAGAGACCAGGTCTGAAACAGAGACCAGAGACCAGGTCTGAAACAGAGACCAGAGACCAGGACTGAAACAGAGACCAGAGACCAGGACTGAAACAGAGACCAGAGACCAGGACTGGAACAGAGACCAGGTCTGAAACAGAGACCAGAGACCAGGTCTGAAACAGAAACCAGAGACCAGGTCTGAAACAGAGACCAGAGACCAGGAGTGAAACAGAGACCAGAGACCAGGACTGAAACAGAGACCAGAAACCAGGACTGAAACAGAGACCAGAGACCAGGTCTGAAACAGAGACCAGAAACCAGGACTGAAACAGAGACCAGAGACCAGGACTGAAACAGAGACCAGAAACCAGGACTGAAACAGAGACCAGAGACCAGGACTGAAACAGAGACCAGAGACCAGGACTGAAACAGAGACCAGAGACCAGGTCTGAAACAGAGACCAGAGACCAGAACTGAAACAGAGACCAGAAACCAGGACTGAAACAGAGACCAGGACTGAAACAGAGACCAGAGACCAGGTCTGAAACAGAGACCAGAGACCAGGACTGAAACAGAGACCAGAGACCAGGTCTGAAACAGAGACCAGAGACCAGGACTGAAACAGAGACCAGGTCTGAAACAGAGACCAGAGACCAGGTCTGAAACAGAGACCAGAGACCAGGACTGAAACAGAGACCAGAGACCAGGTCTGAAACAGAGACCAGAGACCAGGACTGAAACAGAGACCAGGTCTGAAACAGAGACCAGAGACCAGGTCTGAAACAGAGACCAGAGACCAGGTCTGAAACAGAGACCAGAGACCAGGTCTGAAACAGAGACCAGAGACCAGGACTGAAACAGAGACCAGAGACCAGGACTGAAACAGAGACCAGAAACCAGGACTGGAACAGAGACCAGGTCTGAAACAGAGACCAGAGACCAGGTCTGAAACAGAAACCAGAGACCAGGTCTGAAACAGAGACCAGAGACCAGGTCTGAAACAGAGACCCCAGAGCCAGGTCTGAAACAGAGACCAGAGACCAGGACTGAAACAGAGACCAGAAACCAGGACTGAAACAGAGACCAGAGACCAGGTCTGAAACAAAGACCAGAGACCAGGACTGAAACAGAGACCAGGTCTGAAACAGAGACCAGAGACCAGGTCTGAAACAGAGACCAGAGACCAGGTCTGAAACAGAGACCAGAGACCAGGACTGAAAGAGAGACCAGAGACCAGGACTGGAACAGAGACCAGGTCTGAAACAGAGACCAGAGACCAGGTCTGAAACAGAAACCAGAGACCAGGTCTGAAACAGAGACCAGAGACCAGGTCTGAAACAGAGACCCCAGAGACCAGGTCTGAAACAGAGACCCCAGAGACCAGGTCTGAAACAGAGACCAGAGACCAGGACTGAAACAGAGACCAGAGACCAGGACTGAAACAGAGACCAGAGACCAGGACTGAAACAGAGACCAGGTCTGAAACAGAGACCAGAGACCAGATCTGAAACAGAAACCAGAGACCAGGTCTGAAACAGAGACCAGAGACCAGGTCTGAAACAGAGACCAGAGACCAGGTCTAAAACAGAGACCAGAGACCAGGACTGAAACAGAGACCAGAGACCAGGACTGAAACAGAGACCAGAGACCAGGACTGAAACAGAGACCAGAAACCAGGTCTGAAACAGAGACCAGGTCTGAAACATAGACCAGAGACCAGGACTGAAACAGAGACCAGGTCTGAAACAGAGACCAGAGACCAGGACTGAGACCAGGTTTTTGTTCAGATTCTTGGTCGGGGTCTTGGTCAGGTTTGTGCACATGAGGAGGTGGTGACAGTTCTATGGAATATGAGTATGATATAAACTACAGGAAGTTCCGATCACACTCATTCATCCACATTCACATCTCTGGACCAGGGGTCGACAACTCAAAAGGTGCAAAGAGCCATATTCGACAGATAAAGCTTACGTCCATGAAGACAACACAGGCTGTTGGGGTATATGACCTATTTTTGCTTAATATCAAAATGACTAAGTATAGGCTACAAATAAATAATATGTGTATATGATAAAATGTCTCCCCTGCATCATGAAGAGAATGTTGCACCACATGACTACTACTGCTAAATTGAAACCCAATTTTGTGGCATTGATGAAACTGTATTGATACAGTAAATAATTTTTGGCTCAGCGTTCACATACCTTCATAACGGAACTGTCAGTTTGATATCGATCACGTCCCAGGCTGGTGTTCGCTGAAGCTGAATGAATGTCTTTGATTTGCCAATTACTGACATTGCCTCCCATTTTAATGACCCTTTTATTTCACCGGAGAGCAACATGTCTTTTATTTTCAGGATTATCTAAGTTTTTTAAGACTGAAAAAGGTGCAATTGCGATTATGGATGCACCGATACGGACACTGGTATTGGGTCGATACCATAGGACCCGATGCCGGCAACCGATACCCACGTTTTTAATATACATTAGTGTCACAATAGCAGACAGCTGTGTGACACGTGTTGCCATGGTGATCTCCCAAAGCCAGCAGCAAGATAGAAAGCCAGCAGCAAGCTACCGGCAACCGGACAGGATGTTGGCCGTATGGCAAAGTAAACGAGAGTGATGAGTAAAGCGCACTGTACGTTGTGTAGGGCAAAACTGTCTCGAGGTGGGTCCAAAAAAAAAAGATGTATAACGCCAGCAGCTTGATCAAACATCTCATCACCACGCGGCGTATAATATCTTTGCTAGCACCGAAGCACAAAAACAACCAACACTACAACACATTTATTTAAGTTTTAACTTTATGTGTGACATCAGAGCTCTAAAAATCTCTGTGCATTGAAATGGCAGATATTTCTTTGTACCATTTGTATGAGTGGAATATTATAGTGGCTCTTATTGTTGACAGATCAGCCAACAATCGCAAAAAGAAGTGGAGCAGCCACCGGGTGGAGCAGGACGGGTCACAAGGTGGAGTAGCCGCTTGTTTTGGACCATTTTCTCTGCTCTGGTCCAAAGTTAGAAAGCTAAATGCTTCATTAGCATTTTCTAAAAGTTAGCATTCCTCCAGTGGATTTTCACCTGATTCACTTGGTTCGTACCATGAATCCTCTCTGCTCTGGTCTGGACCAGTGTAAAACCATGAACACTACTGCAACAACATCTCAGGTAGAAAACAGCAATACAAATGAAAATGGTAAAGCACAAAACAAAAGCAGTTTCAGAGACAGTTTTCAGCGCATTCAAAAGACTGTTAAAACAATTGCTAAAATGTTTATTGTTAAAGCATTTTCTTATTGTTGAAATGAGAAATAAAACCTTTTTGATTTCAGTTGTATTAGTTTTATGAATTCCCAGGGACAACACAATGCAGTACTCTTAAAGGTATTCGGTATCGAAAAGTACTCAAATTAAAATACTCTTACTCGTATCGGTTTTGAAAAAAGTGGTATCGGTGCATCACTAATTGCAATCACACTTTTTCACTAAGTATCAACTGGGAAATCTTTGTTGTTCTCATTACAAAAGAAAATATCTATGAATCCTTCCTTATTGAAGCTAATTATTTGCTTTCATTGCCATTTTCCTTGAATCCTCAGTTCTTAATGGCCCTTTCCCTTTTCAGCTGTGGGATCCACAGCGCATACTTCTGTTTGTTTACAGCAGGCTTTGATGCAAAGCTACGTCAACTGAAATGTTGAAATTGAATATTTCTTTTGCACAATTTTAAGAATGTTTGTCCTCCTATAGAAACCAGAAAAGAATCAAATGTACCCCTCCGCCTCCAATTTCAGACATGTTTGAAGAGGCTCCAGGAGTCACTTGTGGGGCCCTTAAGAACTGCAAGCGGCTCCAGATCCTTCTTCTAGCTTCTGCTCGTTCAAGCAACATCCAAACCACCAAGCAAACCAATCCAAACCAACAATCACATTACTCTTCCTCCTCGCACACGTTCTACCAAACTCACAAACATCTTCACGTTCTCCTCTGAGCCGCCCCCAATGCTGTATTATCAGAAAATAGTAACAGACCGATTTGCCAACTTAAATTCCCTTTCACCAACCTGCACCCTCCTCCTAACATTCTCCCATTCACTTCTCTCTCAGCACCATCCATGTACAGATCTGGTCCGTGTCGGCCAGAAGGTGCCCTCACCTGAGGACAGTTCCGGTCAGTGTCGGTCATCTCCTTGGACAGAGCGCTGAGGGCCACATCCTTCTGCAGATGCCACAGAGTCGTGGAGTAGATCTCCATCCCCTCCTCACGGTACGACTCTATCCTCCTGACCTCCGAGAAGATCCGCTCTGCCTGATGGAGACCAGAGGGACCAGGGTTATATAGGGACCAGCGAGACCAGCAAGACCAGAGGGGCCAGGGTTATAGGGACCAGAGAGACCAGGGTTTAAGAGACCAGAGAGACCAGGGTTATAGGGACCAGAGAGGCCAGGGTTAGGGAGACCAGAGAGGCCAGGGTTATAGGGACCAGAGAGGCCAGGGTTAGGGAGACCAGAGAGGCCAGGGTTATAGGGACCAGAGAGGCCAGGGTTATAGGGACCAGAGAGGCCAGGGTTATAGGGACCAGAGAGGCCAGGGTTAGGGTCTCCCTAACCCTGACCAGAGAGGCCAGGGTTAGGGAGACCAGAGAGGCCAGGGTTATAGGGACCAGAGAGACCAGGGTTAGGGAGACCAGAGAGGCCAGGGTTATAGGGACCAGAGAGACCAGGGTTAGGGTCTCCCTAACCCTGACCAGAGAGGCCAGGGTTATAGGGACCAGAGAGGCCAGGGTTAGGGTCTCCCTAACCCTGACCAGAGAGGCCAGGGTTAGGGAGACCAGGGTTAGGGGGACCAGAGGGACCAGGGTTAGGGACGCCAAAGGGACCAGGGTTAGGGACGCCAAAGGGACCAGGGTTAGGGACGCCAAAGGGACCAGGGTTAGGGACACCAAAGGGACCAGGGTTAGGGACACCAAAGGGACCAGGGTTAGGGAGACCAAAGGGACCAGGGTTAGGGAGACCAGAGGGACCAGGGATAGGGAGACCAGAGGGACCAGGGTTAGGGAGACCAGAGGGATCAGGGTTAGGGACACCAAAGGGACCAGGGTTAGGGACACCAAAGGGACCAGGGTTAGGGAGACCAAAGGGACCAGGGTTAGGGAGACCAGAGGGACCAGGGATAGGGAGACCAGAGGGACCAGGGTTAGGGAGACCAGAGGGATCAGGATTAGGGAGACCAGAGGGACCAGGGTTAGGGAGACCAGAGGGATCAGGATTAAGCCTAGCGTACATCGGACTGGCAACTGATTATATCCGTCGCCTCTGAGTTGCTGCCCCGCACACATCGACAATCTGGCGAAAACGGGCAACTCTGAGTCGCAGGCCAGTCTCTTGAATAACAGCGCGTACATCGACAGCAACTGGCCTCAACCACAGTGTGTTTTCTGACATAAACTGTTGCAGGCTCGCAATACACGCAATACACACACGTTGTCGGAGCGGCGCATGGAGCGCGCACATCGGGGCAACTGAGGACAACTAGTTGCCGAAAAGTAGAACACGGGCAACTGACTGGAACTGGAGACCGACTGATCATCTCCAGTTGTAAGAGCGCGCACATCGACCGATTTCGGCAACTGATCATCTCCCACCATCTCCTCTCAGTTGCCAAAAGCCGCCTTGCAACTAGTTGTCCCCAGTTTCTCTGTCGATGTACGCTAGGCTTTAGGGAGACCAGAGGGACCAGGGTTAGGCCTAGTGTATACTCGCGCAGTGCTGAGCTTACGGAGGTGACGTGACTACACTTGCGCAACGCGTGGATCACCACAAGGCCCTTACGTTGCCTGCCACGCACCCTCGAAAATGTCTAACTACGCAAGGGTCGCCGTAAGGAAGCTCCGCTGTGATTGGTCCGTGTGTGTGTATTGGAAGGAAGCACGGAGCGGCTGCAGGGAACATGGACGAGGCACTCGGAGTAGACTGGTTTGTGTTTCGAAGGAACCGAAGGAAAAGTAGTTTGGGCTCATGGCAGAGCCTGATATACGCGGAGACTGTGGACTGTTCAGTTCTGTTGGATATCCAACTTATAAACTGTGCTGTCGTTTGTTTTGCACTGTTCCTGTCTTTGTTTGAATCGTAGCTTATTGTGTCTGTTCCATTCCTCCTGTTCTTGTAAATAGTTCATATTTGTCTCTGATATTTACCACTTATTATTTTGCTGTTTGTGCTGAATACACTTTAATAATAACTATGTTTCCAACAAGAACTGTGTCTTTGTTCACAACATCACAGTTAAATGAGTTGAAACGATGAGTTTAGAACTATCACATAAACCTACAGTAGAAACACATGTAATGATCTCAAACAGCTTCACTTATGTTTTTGTTCTGAAGAGGAGAAAGTAGCAGCACAAATGGGACCGCTTTGGTTAGGCAACTCCTGTGAGTTCGCCATCACGTGGTTGGTTGTGGGATTACAACATTTGGGGAAGGCGCAGGTTACCACAAACTGTGGTTACGTGGGTCCAATGTGACCGCAACCGTAACCCGCGCGGTGCGAGTGTACACAGGCCTTTAGGGAGACCAGAGGGACCAGGGTTAGGAAGACAAGAGGAATCAGAGTAAGAGGGAACAGAGGAACCAGGGTTAGGGAGACCAGAAAGAACAGGGTTAGAGGGAGCAGAAAGACCAGGGTTAGGGACACCAGAGGGTCTGCTGTCAGACCAGTTCTGGTTGTAGCCTCCTCGGGTCATACCTGGGTGTAGTCAGCGAGCTCAAAGTGAGCCCGGCCTATGGCGGACAGGACCCAGCCCGTGGAGTAGTGGTGCGGGGGCAGAGACGACAGAACTGCGATTGCTTCTTTACAGCTGTACGAACACAGCAGGAGGTAGCCACGCCCCATTTCCCTCAAGATGGTCATGATGGAGTCTGCAACAACCAATCAGACAGCAGGGTCAGTCCTATACAAATGAATCAAAAGTGGTGGTACTGAGAGAATGACCAGAGAGAGAGAGAAGAACGTGACCAGATAGAGAGCTCAAAGAGAGACCAGAGAGAGGTTGTACTGAGGGCTGTAAATAATGGTTCATCGGTGCTCATGCTCCTTCACTTTGATTTACACAGAACTGTGAAGGTCACTTCCACACAGCCGCAGGAAGACTGTCAATTCCAGAGCTGCAGGAGGACACTTTGTTTTTCTGCCTTTGGGGCTTTCTCACCTGCAGTAAGCCGGGTGTGGCTCCGCTCTTGGCTCAATGGCTCCAGTCTCATTATGTCCAAACTCTCGTTCAGATTTGTTGACGATTTGTTGGTTTTACTTTTCGTTTTTCTATTTGGGATTTTAGTGGGAAATTTCATCTTGAGCTTTTTACTGTTCTCCTGCAAACACACAAAACATTAGAAATACACAATCTCGTATTTTGCAATTTAAGGCGGACTGCTTTAAGGCTGACTGTGTTAAGGCCGACAGTGTACCTTGGCAGTGGAGCTAGCGCTGGTGAACAGTCTGGAGCTCCTTCGTGGTTGAATGTTTGGAGGTCCAGAGGGACTGAGGACCTGGGGAGCCGCGCTGTGGGGACATAACAGGGTTAGACCCGACAGTTCCATTCCAGTCTGAGATGAGGGGCTGGAAGCTCTGACCTATCCAATTAAAAACTTAAAATTCTATCAATGGCAAATGTGTCATGTACATTTCTCCATTGTGAGATCAATAAAGCTCATCCTATCATATGTTAAAATATGGTGTGGGGGGCGGAGTTACCTAGTGTGGGGGGCGGAGCCTTGCAGTGCTTGGTTGAAGGGGATGGGTAGCACCTCTCTGCTGTTTCCAGTTTGAGAAAAAACCTTAGACTGAGAAATCCTGGAGACGGTCTGTGAACGAAACACACATGAACACTCGGCCCCCCATGCATGCAGAGACCTCAGGCTAAGCAGGACAACGCCTGGTTAATTCTAGGATGGTAGACCTCTAACACCAGGTGCCACAGCAGCTGGTGTTCACATACACATACGTGTGAGTCAGGTGTGAGCCTATAGCACAGACTGGTCCACTTTTTTTGTCAGCCTGCCCCGGGGCAGCTGTGACTACACACACACACACACACACACACACACCTTCTTGTTGGCACAGGGCTGAGGGTCCAGTCCACTGCTGTAGGTCTGTAGATATGTGGGGTCTCCCGGGCTCGGCTCCAGGGGCAGGATCCCGAAACTACATAACTAACATAAATTCTAACCCTATAATCATGATAAATATACATTATAGAAGAATAAACCCATCACTATAATAAAGATTAGTGCTGTTAAATGATTCAAATGTGAAATAGCAATTAATTACATTAGTGTCATAGTTAACTCGTGATTAATCACAATTAATCCCTAATTTTCCTTGATTTGATTAGAAAGGCAATGGATGAAGCGAAATCTTGTATTATTCCAATCCCCACCAAAAGACAGTATTTTCATCAAAACTCTCTGCATGTTTTTGTTATTGCTTGTGAACGTCGTCTGGAATAAAAGGTGCCCATGATGCAGATATTGTCTGTTTCATGGCGTGATGATGGGACCCCTGAACCCGGCCTCCTCCAAAGTCATTGGTGGGCTGTCTTCCCCGGCCCGGACTTGTGGGCCCCCTCCCCGCCTGGGAGCCGCATTGGTTCTAGAGCCCGAGTCCTGGATCTATAACCTCCCCCTTATCTTATTTTAGTGTCACATTATTTATCATACACGCTCACACCTCATTTACTGCTGTCCAAATTGACCATGCACACGCTTGGTTTAATCTTCTGAGGATGTTCTCTCAGAAACATCTGCAGACGTGATTTTACTGCTGTCAAACGATTACAGTTTTTAATCACGATTAATCGTGTTGATGTTGAGGTTTTCCCCGTACTAAATGTCCCTAGATTTGGTTTGAGAAGAGATTGGATGAAGCTATAAGCTTATATTAATCCAATCCCCTCCGAACAAAAAGTAGTAGGATTGTCTATAATGCGAGCCAGGCGCTCGTCAGCCCTAAAATATGACCCACGCAGTGACGCGGCTTTCAGTTACATCTCACACCTGCACCACCCTCAGGGGAGAGGGTTGTGAGAGGACGAGCTTACCTGGGGGTGAGCGGGCTCAGAGTCGGTGGTCCTCCCAACAGACTCCGCCCACTCTTGGGTTTGTTTTGTTTGTTGCTAAGCAGCGAGGCAGCGGTTGCCACGGAGACGGTCTCTGGGGAGATGATGGACGAGTCGATGTATGAGAGGTCAGAGGTCATCTTACCACTGGACTCGAGGTTCAAACGGTTTAGCTCCTGAAGGTCAAAGGTCACTGATATTAGCACTACCAACTATACAAATATGTTCTGTTCTGAACGGCCACAAAGTGTCATATACCAGAAGGAAAGGAGGTATCGGAGGAACTATACTGTAGAGTATTATACAGGATATAAGCGGTACTCACCAGCGTGTCCTGGGGCGTCTCCATCAGCGCTGTGTCCAATCTGTGACTAGGATTCTGGATGTGGGCGGGGCTTACAGGCTGAGGGGGCGGGGCTAACTGTGCGAGCCGAAACACTAGGTCTGCGTCTGGTTTCTCCCCTGGAAGGAGACATAGGACTAGTACAACTACTTCATGATTTACAACAGGGATGGAGAGATTCACACTGGTGGTTCGGGTCTAGCAGAGTCTGTGCACCGGCACATTCCTGCATAGATACACAATAGGGGCTAATTCTTGAAGCATCGTCTCTCGTCTCTCTGTGCCAATTCCATCTTGCATTTGGATTACTTAACTAATCAAACCAAACCCTTGGTCAGGCCTATCATTCATCATTATGAAATTGTTTTGAATTGCATCGTAATGAGAAAAGGAGTGAATCGCATTGGATTGTATCATATCGCTGACAGGGGTGAATCGTATCGGCAGGAGGCCTCAGTGTACCGTTACTGTATAAAATTGGTGCTCAATTATCAAGATGCGTATAAAAAATAAAAAAAGCGGCCTCTGAGGTGAAGGTACCCATCCCTAGTTAAGTAGCAACAGTAGCAGCAGTACCATCAGTAGCAGGAGTACTTCTTACCCAGGTGACATAGAGTCTGGAACGGGCTCCAGTTGAACGGATTCAGACTCAAACTTTTCTGGAAACATTCTGCTCCTTTGGCGGAGCGGTCGGTTTGGCTGCGGAGACCAGAGACCAAGTCAGAACCAGGACCACAGAGAGACCAGTAGGTGATGTAGCAGACACACACACTCACCAGTAGATGGTGCCGAGCAGCGACAGAGTGAACGCCGCTGAGTCTCCAAACTCTGCGATGATGTCATCCTGAGTTTTTTGTTTATTTAAGACTCCGCCCACAAGGACCTGCTCCCCCTCAGCCAGCCTGTAAACAGGTCAACAACAACAACAGGTAAACAAACGAGTAAACAAACACGTAAATGTCAAATCTTTGATCCGACCCCTAAAAAAAAAACAGCACTCAGAAAGCACTGGTGACATCACGGAGGAGGGGCAGGAGGGGGTCAGGGATGTCTAGAGGAGCAGGTAGAACATGAGGGCAGGATTATGAGGAGGAGCAGAGGAAGACACTCACTTGCTTAAGTCCACACAGCACTTGGCCAGCAGGTACCGGAGTGCAGGGCTGCAGCAGGAGTGGGCTTTGAGGAGGCGATAGGCCTTAAAGGACTTCCCCGAGCGATAGTAACATGTGGCGAGGAGGTGCAGGGCCTCTTCTGAGCGAACTGAGACGAGAGAGGAGAGGCTTTAGACACATCAGAGAGGAGGAGAGAGGGAGAGGCTTTAGACATATCAGAGAGGAGGAGATAGGAGCATACAGAGAGAGGAGAGGCCTTAGATACATCAGAGATGAGGAGAGAGGTAGATGCTTTACACATCAGAGAGGAGGAGAGAGGGAGAGGCTTTAGACACATCAGAGAGGAGGAGAGAGGGAGAGGCTTTAGACACATCAGAGAGGAGGAGAGAGGGAGAGGCTTTAGACACATCAGAGAGGAGCATACAGAGAGAGGAGAGGTTTTTTTACACAGAGAGGAGGAGCACACAGAGGAGGGGGATTTAGAAACATCTGAGTGAAGGAAGAGATAAAAGGGCACCAGGTCCAGCCCAGCTCTTACCTTCAGCATAAAGTCTTTCTGCCAGAAACACTGCATCCAGATACGAGTAGTGGTTCAGGGCCTGCCACACTGCAGCCTGCATCAAAAACAAATTATATATGATATTATGGAGAGAAAACTATATTAAATAAGGGCTGATTCTTGAGATAGTTGTGGTAGCAACTAACGCAGTTACTACTGTAGCAGCTACTAAAGCAATCGCTGAGTTGTTTTTGAAACCGTCCATAGGCTGTGAAGAGGTTTTATGGACCATGACAGTGCCCCTAGCAGAGCAGACTACTCTGGAGAGTGGCTTCAGAGAGAAACTGATCCAGCCTCTGTGTAAAGGAGAGGTTTTGGAAATCTGTCCTGTCTGTTGGACTGTACAACAGAACAACTGAGCTTGTACACGTCACTGGGACCACATCCTGCTCATTCATATTCATATTTATTTCTCCATGTGTAGTCTGTGTCCTGACCGTATAATTCTATAATGACTGCAGAATTAAATGTGTTTACTAAAACACTGCTAATGTAACAGTCCTCTCTCTGAACATGTTCTCAGGCGAAACATCACCACGTTTTAATTATCACAAGAATAAATAATCGTTAATTTCAGCCCTATACTTGATAATATTGCATGGATAGAAGAGAAAAGCTGATGCTAAAGCTAACCTACCCCAAACAGCTGATGCTAACGTTAGCACCGGCAGCTAGGTGCGTTTAGCAGCAGAAACATGACATTATTTAGAGTTAAGTACCAAGACACAGATTAAATCCGAGATCATAGACACGGGACTGTCCCAGAGCAGCAGGGACAGTGACATTACTCTATATTAAACATGATTCACCCACAAAGGCAGTGTGATTCGAGCCGAAGCTAACTGCGGTGTTAGCATCTGAGCTAATGACACAAACACTGCGGCAAAGTGTGAATTTAACAACCTCATAATGATAAGTGCTAATATGTGATAACAGTGCACACATTAACTATAGAGAAATCATAGAAATAAAAAGGTATCGTATGGAAACACTGAGGAACTAGCACTGAACCTCACGGTGCCTCAAACATAAACATTATTATTAATGTTTCAAAGTGTTTTCCACTATTTCTTTGAAGCCAAATGCAAACAATGATTTCAGCAGAACTCAGCTCAAACTAACACGATGATGAGCTCAAGTTAAATCAAGTATAAAGAGAAATGGGAGAACACAAGAGGGGCTTCATGCTGTGTGTATGTATGTGTATGTGTATGTGTATGTGTATGTGCATGTGTACGTGTATGTGCATGTGTATGTGTATGTGCATGTGTATGTATGTATGTATGTATATATCTATGTATGTGTATGTGTATGTATGTGTATGTGTGTGTGTGTATGTGTATGTGTATGTGTATGTGCATGTGTATGTGTATGTGCATGTGTATGTGTATGTGCATGTGTATGTATGTATGTATGTATATATCTATGTATGTGTATGTGTATGTATGTGTATGTGTGTGTGTGTATGTGTATGTGCATGTGTATGTATGTATGTATATATCTATGTATGTGTATGTGTATATGCATGTGTATGTATGTATGTATGTGTATATGCATGTGTATGTATGTATGTATATATCTATGTATGTGTATGTGTATGTGTATATGCATGTGTATGTATGTATGTATATATCTATGTATGTGTATGTGTATGTATGTGTATGTGTATGTGTATGTGCATGTGTATGTATGTATGTATGTATATATCTATGTATGTGTATGTGTATGTATGTGTATGTGTGTGTGTGTATGTGTATGTGTATGTGCATGTGCATGTGTATGTATGTGTATGTGTATGTATGTGTATGTGTACGTGTACGTGTATGTGCATGTGTATGTATGTATGTATATACCTATGTATGTGTATGTGTATGTATGTGTATGTATGTGTACGTGTACGTGTATGTGCATGTGTATGTATGTATGTATATATCTATGTATGTGTATGTGTATATGCATGTGTATGTATGTATGTATATATCTATGTATGTGTATGTGTATGTATGTGTATGTATGTATGTGTGTATGTATGTGTGTTAGTATATGTATCTATGTGTGTGTGTATGTGTGTATATGTATGTGTGTTAGTATATGTATCTGTGTGTGTGTATGTGTGTATATGTATGTATGTGTATATGTATGTGTGTTAGTATATGTATCTATGTGTGTGTGTATGTGTGTATATGTATGCGTGTGTATATATGTAAATGTATATATGTATATGTGTGTATGTGTATATGTATGCGTGTGTAGATATGTATGTGTACACTATATGTATGCGTGTGATAAAGTTAAATAAATAACTACTGGTTCCAACAAGAACCAATACTGATCTTTTAATTCACAGGAGAACAGTTCTAGGGCCAAATTCTTCTTAATCGACTCCAATCACTGCAGACGAGGAGCAGCAGTGAAGACACATGGACGAACACATAGGAGCAGTTTGACAGTGGTTTGTTTTGACTGTGCAAACACCTCTGAACAGTGGCCTTTACGAGTGAGTCCGTGTCACAGACGTCTGTATCTACACAGGCTTCATGCACATCAATAACAATGTAGATGTTAGAAGGGACTCCGGCCACACACCAAATAATGGGTTTTAGAGACGGAATCAAGGCTATTGTTACACTGCTACCAAGAAACCAGCAACTAGAGAATGGGTACGAACCAGAACCGGAGCCGGACTGGCTCAGGACTGAGGCAGGTCTAAAGCAGGACTATAGCAGGTCTACAGCAGGTCTACAGCAGGTCTACAGGAGGTCTACAGCAGGACCAGAGGAGGTCTAAAGCAGGACTACAGCAGGTCTAAAGCAGGTCTAAAGCAGGACTACAGCAGGACTACAGCAGGACTACAGCAGGTCTAAAGCAGGTCTAAAGCAGGTCTAAAGCAGGACTACAGCAGGACTACAGCAGGTCTAAAGCAGGTCTACAGCAGGTCTACAGCAGGTCTAAAGCAGGTCTACAGCAGGTCTAAAGCAGGTCTAAAGCAGGTCTAAAGCAGGACTACAGCAGGACTACAGCAGGTCTAAAGCAGGTCTAAAGCAGGTCTAAAGCAGGTCTACAGCAGGACTACAGCAGGTCTAAAGCAGGTCTACAGCAGGACTACAGCAGGTCTACAGCAGGACTGGCCTCACCTGCACCGGCTCTTGCAGAACTGTCATCCCGCCTAGAGCGCTCCGTAGTCGGGGAGCAGACGCAGAGACACGGAGGTCGGGACTCGGGTCTCAGCCTCAGGTCCTCCGGGTCCAGTGGTTCTGGAGGATCTGCTTCAAACTGCGACCGTTACCGGAAACTGATGGAAAGTGACGGAAACAGCCGAAGGAGCCCGAGCGTCTTGTTCTGCTGTTCCAGTATTCAGTGCTGCCTCCCTCCGCTGCAGGAGCGACACTGCACCACAGCTATGTTCACAACAATGTACAACACTCTGACCTTAACCCATGCACTGTATAGACTGTGTGTAGACTGTGTGTAGACTGTGTGTAGACTGTGTGTAGACTGTGTGTAGACTGTATGTAGGCCTAACCCTAATATACTGTCTGACTGTACAACGACCCCACTGCTGAGCCTGCACATGTCAAGGCTCTGTAAATATTGCAAACAATAATGCAGTGTCAGAATGTGCAACAAGTACAAAAAGTGTCACTTTCACAATAATAAACTTTATTAAACTCATTAATGTTTATTAACAATGTGATCTACACACACACGCACACGCACACACGCACGCACACACACACACACATACACACACCAGCAGGTGGAGCCACAGAACAGTGCACCTTTCCTGCTGATACTTATATTAAACCTATCGTTTCTGTAAAAATATATTATATTTAAATGTGATTAGAGGAAATAATGATTCCTGGATCAGTCCTGGTCTCTGTCCTGGTCTCAGTCCTGGCCTCAGTCCTGGTCCTGGATCAATGGAGGAGGTGGAGGAATTTCCAAATCTGAGGATCAGAAAAAAACAATTACCCACAAAATCTAATCATATTGCATGGGTTTAATACAGTGCTTTTCTGGACACTTCACAGTGGTGATAAACTACTACTGTAGCCACAGCAGCCTTGAGGCAAACTAACAATACAATACAATTTATTCTTGTATAGCCCTAGGTCACAACAGAAGTAATCTCAGAGACTTAACAAAACCATTGAAATCACCAACACAGGTCAGAGAATCAACAGTTAAAACACATGAAGAATATAAAGCACACACAGAAGAAAATGTCCATACATGTTGTAGAATGCTAAAGTGTCCTGATCATCACCAATCCTTTCTGTTGGACACTAACTGTCCAACAAGACCCTCCTGCATCGACAAGGAACAACTCTTAAAAAACCCAGTGGGAAAAAGTGAGAAACTAACAGAAGCGTGGCAACCAGTCAGTGCCATCAGGGCCTTCCACCACCAGCAAACATTCACACACACACCAGACTTTATCTAATGTGGGTGAATAGCTCCAGAGGTCTGACAGATCAGGCTTTCCCCTACAGGGGGCACCGCTCCAGGATCTGTACCAGGGCGGTGCCCCCTTCCTGACCCTTGACCCCTGAGGACCTCTGTAGCTGCAGCTGTCCTCCCTCTCTGGAACACTCTTCCATCACATGGCCTTGCACCAGAGTACATCTGTGACAAGAACTAGATCTAGTTCAGGCCTAGTCGAGCTGCGGCCTGATCCGGCTCAATCTCTATCAAAGAACTCGGGTCAGGCTGGGGCTGACGCGGTAAAGTCAGAGTCATATCAACGTGCTTGAAATAAGACTGCTGCTCTTCATACAAAGCCACCATCACCTCAATCTATGATAAATCTATGTTTATCAATCTATGTTTCTTAATCTAATGCCCATATCTCTCACTGACCCCCATTCGCTGCGTGAAGAGTAGTGTCAGAGCTTCAGTTAAAAGCTGCGCTTCTTCCAATATGTGCGGTTAGTGCAGGGATATTAGAATGGCGCATGTTCTCATCTCTCTCTCACACTGCCTGGAAAGGTACACGCATCCATTGCCATCTACTCATTCAATTAAAAAAAGTATACAGAGTACTATAGCCCATTATAATTATGTAGAAGTTGAATTAACACTAATAAAAGTCTAGAGAGAAATGGTCAAATCGCCTGCTCCTCTCAACTGGGAGTCAGGGGCCGCGACATCAGTTCCTCCAGCCCCAATATCCCTCTGTGTGTCAGCAGCAGTCTCCCTGATGCAGCGGCCAAGATCCATTGGCGTGTTTGAGCAAATGCAGTCTGGTAGAGGTAGTCTTGACAGGGTGTGTAGAACTGAATTTTGTTGGGCTCGGGCCGGGGCTTAGTTTTCAGGCCCGATTACAGTTCTTATAAGAACCAACTCTGAGGAGCACAGGGACTGGCTTCCAGCTGAGACACAGGGATGGACCTCCCTCTTTCGTCTGAGTCAAAACAGATACGAGTTTGTAGCATTATTATGACTTGATTTGAGTCAGTTAGCATTAGTGTTTGTTATAGCCTTTATAATAGAGTTAGCATTGGCATTAGGGCTTGTATCAGCCTTTTAGTATTGGTGTTAGTAAAAGTGCTAGCAATATCATTAGCAATAGATTTGCATCAGCTTTAGTATTAGTATCAACATTAACTTTAGCTTTCGCAATAATATTAGCATCAATATTAGCGTTTAACATAATTTTTGTATCAGCATTAGCTTTAGCACCAGCATTAGCATTAGCATTATCTTCAGTGTTAGCTCTAGCGTCAGCAGTAGCATTACCCAGGTGCCGCAGACTGGCAGGTAAAACCACAAGTAAATGTGGGCGTGATCCTGTGGGCGGGGCTGTGGGCGGGGGAAATGGGGGAGGGGGTGGGACCATGACTGACAGGGGGCGGGGCCAAAGGTAATCAGTTTTATGTCACATTCATGAGACATCACTCTGAGATCTTACGTGATTGGCTGAGAGGCAGGAAAAGCGAGCGTGTAAAGCAGCGGGAGCCAGGGCCAGAGCGCACTCTCAACGAATGAGAACGCAAGGTGGGTGGGGCTCTGTGTCGGCTTCTCCTCGACACTGGAACAAGCCAATTAGCATCCAGCAAACAGGTAGAGCCAATCAGCATTCAGCACAGACACAAAGAGAAAATCAGCATTCAGCACAGAGACAGAGAGCCAATCAGCATTAAGCACAGAGACACAGTGAGCCAATCAGCATGCAGCACAGAGACAGAGAGCCAATCAGCATTCATCACAGAGAAAGGTTGTGGTACCACAGGCAGCAAGGTCTTCTGTGATAGGAGGAGGAGGAGGAGGGGGCGGGGCTTCAATATTCTCAGGTGACGGAGGTGCATTCTCTGTGAAGTCATCAGGAGGAGGCGGGAACAAGGGCTCCTCTAAAACTGAACAAGAAAGTTGTCTAGTATTTCAGTACTCATAGTACATATAGAACTAGAGTACTGTACTCCGGTACTCACCAGTCTCCAGAGGGGGAGGGGGAGGGTCCAAGGGTGGGGTCAGAGCAGAAGGCAGGGCCATTGGGGGTGGGGCTAAAGGCTCAGAGCCACTCAGATCCAGAGATTCTTCTGGTTTGTGAATAGTAGGGGGTGGGGGCGGGGGCGGGGGCGGGGTTATAGGCTCAGGTTGGTTTTCATTGGACACTTCAGGAGGAGGAGGAGGAGGAGGAGCTTCCTCAGTGAATTCGTTCAGAGGGAGGGGCTCATCAGAGAGGGGTGGAGCCTGCCAGGAGGAAGGGACAGTCGGCGGAGCCACAGGCCTCCCAAAACTAAAGAGAGAAAAGTTCTAATTACTGTAGTGTGTAAAGTCCTACTACTATCAATCAATCAAACTTTATTTGTAGAGTCCCTTTCATACACCGAGCAACACAAAGCGCTTCACAGTCCACATCACTCAAGGCACAAATCATCACATAACACACAAACACCAGAATCACCATTAAAACATTAAAATCACACAAGTAATTAAAACCATTAAAACTTTAAAATTACACAAGGAATTAAAAAATAATAAAATAAATAACCACAGTGCATTAAAAATAGAGATAAAATCCTTCAGGTGTATGCACAGGCAAACAGAACAGTCTTTAAGCTGGATTTGAACATTGTCAGAGTAGACGCCTCTCTCACATTTTCAGGGAGACTGTTCCAGATTTTAGCAGCATAAATCTGAAATGCAGCCTCCCCATGTTTAGTCCTGACTCTGGGGACCAGCAGGAGGCCAGTCCCTGTGCTCCTCAGAGTCCGGGCTGGTTCGTATGGCACTAAAGTACTTTGCTGCGAGGCCATGGAGAGACTTGTAGTAGAGCTGTTTTAAAGTCTATTCTCTGAGCCACAGGAAGCCAGTGCAGAGACCTGAGGACTGGACTAATGTGATCGTACTTCTTGGTTCTAGTCAGGACTCGAGTAACTTCAGTTACTACTACAGCTACAGCTACTATGACTGCTAATTCTACTACAACTGTTATTACTACTGCTACTGCTACTGCTACTACTGGTATTACTACTACTACTATTACTACTACTACACTGCTTTTGATTAAACTTATATTTATAAAACTATAATCGCCAAATAAACCCAACTGTCTCATATTTGTTTGACTGTGTTTCAGTGAGTACTTCATCTAACCACCCCACCACACACAGCACAGGTCCTCATGGTGTGTGTGTGTGTGTGTGTGTGCGTGTGTGTGTGTGTGTGTGTATGTCTTTGTGTATCGTGTGCGTGTGCATGTGTGTGTGTATGTGTGTTTGTGTGTACCTGCCCACAGATGGCGATGTTGGCTCCTGAAGCTTTACCCTGAAACATGTTAAATAAACATTTTATTTTGACACCAGGGTTTGGGTTCAGGTCTTGGGGCTTGGTCTCAGTCCTCACCTGTAAGATCCTGTTTTGCGGACGGTTCCACTGCGTTCAGCTTTCACTCCCTGAGACACAAACAGCAGAACATGCAACATGTGACATCACCACTCATACAGCATCATGGGTCTTGAGCAGCCCCGAGATGAGGAGCATTAAACCCCAGTGTTAAAGAGAGAGCACTAAACTCCTGTGTAAAAAAGAGAGAGCACATAACCCCAGCGTTAAATATAACATCATTTATTTGAAATCTTTCAATCCAAATTCAGAGCTCATCACATCAAAGTCACAAATGACTCACTACTATAGCTGCTGGTGATGGACTAGTACCAGTGTTGGTTCTGCTGGACCTCAGCGAGGCTAGAATGTAATCTAGGTCTCAGAGCAACAGCACTTGGCTGGAATAAATCCCATTAATTGGATCAGTATCAGTTTGTTAATGTGAACCAAAACTCCTCACCCTATTCTATTCAATTCAATCTATTTATTGTATTGGCCTAAATCCCAACAGAAGATATCAGAGGACTGAAGGTAAGGTTAGGTAAGACAATCAAACCGTTTCAAACACACAAAAATAGAACACATAGGTATTGGTTCATAGGGGTGTTGACCAATGTCCATGAATGTTGCAGAATGAGAGTGTACTGGATCATCACCACAGTCCTTTGTGTTGGACACTGACTGTCCAACAGACCCTCCTGCATCGACAAGAAACAACTCTAAAACCCAGTGGGAGAAAAGTGAGAAACCTCGGGGAGATCCACATTGAGAGAGGGATCCGCTCCACACGGACGGGCTGTAGATCCAGAACCTAAGCTACAGAACGAGGACCAAGGCCATTGGTCCTAGCCATTCATTTACACTTTATGTCATGATCTCAAAGACCTCTAATGCCGCTTTTCCACAGTAACGGTACGGTACGCTACAGTACGCTATGGCGCGGTTATTTTGCATTTCCACTTTTTCTTAATACCTCAACCGTGGTTCCATCTCCGTAGTACCGATACCATGACGTGACGTCGTTAGTGGGAGGGCAGAGGGCCACAGTTTGGCCCCCTCCTACCTCTAAGACACGTTAGTATCATATCAACCACTCTCTTTAGTGAGAAGTTTATTTATATATCGCATGGCCTAAGGTCACACAAAGATATTTATTGTTTGTTGTACCAGTACTTCCAACTCTCTCCACAAGGGGGCGACAGGAGATTCCAAAATCTGGAGCATCAAACCTTCGACCATCGCGATCTTCAGTCTCTCATTATATTAATTAATATTATACATGTTTTTAGTGTTGGAGAAGCCAGAGCACTTCACAAATTAAGGTCCTCTCTGGATGAGATATAAAAGTAAGAGTTTACCACTCTGCCACCATGTCTCGCAGCGCTCACAAAACGCCTTCAGCCTAGTCCTGGATTAATTGAATCAGTTTTGGGTTTAAAGCCTCAGTCCTGGGTCTACAGCCTCAGTCCTGGGTCTACAGCCTCAGTCCTGGGTCTACAGACTCAGTCCTGGGTCTACAGACTCAGTCCTGGGTCTAGAGCCTCAGTCCTGGGTCTACAGCCTCAGTCCTGGGTCTACAGCCTCAGTCCTGGGTCTACAGCCTCAGTCCTGGGTCTACAGCCTCAGTCCTGGGTCTACATCCTGGGTCTACAGCCTCAGTCCTGGGTCTACATCCTGGGTCTACAGCCTCAGTCCTGGGTCTACAGCCTCAGTCCTTGATCCCTCTCTCAATGTGGGCCTCCCTGAGGTTTCTCACTCTTTCCCCACTGAGTTTGTGTGAGGGGGGAGCAGTGAATCACTGTGGCCCATTCATGAGCTCAGAGAGGTTCCCACGCTTTAACAAAGACACAACAAATAATGGAACTCTGCTACTTCTACTGTAGCAGTAGTAGTAGTAGTAGTAGTAGTAGTAGTAGTAGTAGTAGTAGTAGTAGTAGTAGTAGTAGTAGTAGTAGTAGTAGTAGTAGTAGTAGTAGTAGTAGTAGTAGTAGTAGTAGCAGCAGGAGTAGTAGTAGTAGTAGTAGTGATAGTATTAGCAAAAGTAGTAGTAGTAATAATATAAATAGTAGTGTAGCAGTAGCAGTAGTAGAAGTAGTAATTATACTAGTAATAGTAGAAGTAGTATTAGTAGCAGTAGTACCAGTAGTACTAACATTACTATAAGTAGTTATAGTAGTGTTAGTACTACTACTTAGTGTAGAAGTAGTATTTCTTCTAAAACTCGTGAAGTAAATTAAGTGTTAGAAATGTTTCTGTGAACAGGAAGTGGCTGAGTCTGCGGCGACATCACTTCTCGTTTCGGTTTCAAATGTCGACATTAGAATCAAAACAGGGCCCAGGACCAAGACCAAGACCAAGACCAAGACCAAGACCAAGACCAAGACCAGGACCAGGTAAAATGGCTCTCTATTTTTCTTTCTCGTCTGACGTTCACTCAGTCATTGGTTCAAACCGGACCCTGGTCCTGGTTCAGACCCGGCCTTGGTCTTGCACTTTTCACTCACCTTGTGGCCATGTCCCACAGAGTCCAGGAGCGTGAAGCTGATTGGCCGCCTGCTGTATGGGAGAAGGGGCTTGGGCTGGGGTGGTGGGAGGAGCTTATGACATCGCGGGACACGCCTCTGAGCGGTGAACGAGCCAATCACACGCCTCGCCACCTTCTCCTTATGCATCTGGACAGACTGTAGAAATGATTAAAGCTAACGCACACAGGCCCATCGTAAACCCTGGTCTCTTCCTGGTCTCTCTCAGGTCCCTCTCTAGTCTCTCTCTTGTCTCTCCGGTATCTTTCTTCTCTCTCTTGTCTCCCTCTATGGTCTCTCTCTGGTCTATCTCTTTGGTCTCTCTCTGGTCTCTCTCTTTGGTCTCTCTCTGGTCTCTCTCTCCGGTCTTTATGTGGTCTCTTTCTCTGGTCTCTCTCTGGTCTCTTCATGGTCTCTCTCTCTCTCTCTCTCTGGTCTCTTTCTACAGTCTCTATCTGATCTCTCTCTGGTCTCTCTCTTGCTGGTCTCGCTCTCTGGTCTCTCATTCTCTGATATCTCTCTCTAGTCTCTCTCTGGTCTCCCTCTGGTCTCTCTCTGGTCCCTTTCTGGTCTCCCTCTGGTCTCTCTCTGGTCCCTTTCTGGTCCCTCTCTGGTCTCACTCTGGTCCCTCTCTGGCCTCTCTCTCTTCTCTCTCTGGTCTCTCTGGTCCCTCTCTGGTCTCTTTCTGGTCCCTTTCTGGTCTCTCTCTGGTCCCTCTCTGGTCTCTCTCTGGTCCCTCTCTGCCTCTATGTCTATGGTCTCTCTCTGGTTCCTTTCTGGTCCCTCTCTGGTCCCTCTCTGGTCCCTCTCTGGTCCCTCTCTGGTCCTGGTCTGGTCTCACCTGGTCCAGCAGGTCCACAGAGGACTCAAGGTTCTTCAGGCCGTCTCTCTGCAGATCCAGGATCCTCAGCAGTGACTCGGCCACAGAGTGGATCTGGAACGCTACTGATGCCAACGACTGAGTGAGGAGCGCTTGGGTCTCAGAGAGGGCCTCACTGCTGCCCTTGGAGGTCTGTGGGGGAAGTACACCGTGAGAGACATGCCCCTGGAGGCCTGAGGTCACATGGTCAGAGGTCCATGTGACCTCTGACCTCCTCACCTGGAGGTAGTTGTTGCTGCAATAGTCAGCCACATTCAGAAGGTTCTGGTGGTTTTCAGTCAGAGCTCTGAGTGACTGAGGAACCGACTGTAAGATCTGGTCCAGTTCCATCTGAAAGACCAGAGAGGACTATGTGAGACTGACCAGAGAGAAACCAGAGGGACCTGAGAGAGACCAGAGGGCCCAGAGAGAAACCAGAGGGACCTGAGAGAGACCAGCGGGACCAGAGAGACCAGAGAGGGACCACACAGGACTATTTGGGACCAGAGAGGACAATTTGAGACCAAAGGATACTTCGTGAGGCCAGAGAGAGACCAGAGAGGGATCAGAGAGAAAGACCAGAGGGACCAGAGAGATGTGAAACTTTGTGAGAACGACATTTTATCTATCAATAATACTGTTAATAATAATAGTAACTACAAATTGTATAATGGCTGAATCTATTCTGAATGACTGCATCATGTAAACAAAGTGCAACAAAACACTAACAAATCTAAAGCTAAAATCTAAAATTACTACAGCCATATATCACAATTACACCCCAATCACACCCTTATATCCCTGTTACACCCCCTATGATGATATTACCCCTGTACACTGTTACCACCCCCCCTCTCTACTTTAAAGTATGGTTACACAGCTTTTTGGTGCGTCTATGGAGTACTTGATGCCTTATTCTATTTTTTTAATTGTTAACTAGTTTGCAGTGAGAAGCAATTCCATAGTTTGTGACTTGTTACTCACAATGGCAAGAAAAATAATTCTGATTCTGAAAATATTGTACTTAAAGGTATAAAAACTTACCACTATAAAGTTTAAACTAAAAAACGATCAAAACACAAAATCTTCTAAATGTATAAGATTTAAAAAAAAAAAAAAAAAGACCCATTATAAAAGTGTGGAAAAAGTACAACTTCAAGAACAAATATGTCAAATACTATAAAAGATAAACTAAAAAAACCCGAGGAATAAATCGGAGAAGAATAAAGCGTTGGAGAGTTGGAACGCGGTGAAATCTGGCAGAAGATAAAAGATAAAAGATAACAGAAGATGGAATAAAGAAAGTGCCCAGACTCAGGTGGAAGAGGAAGAGACTGAATACTAAAAACAGACCAAGAACTCACCGCTTTAGTCCTGGTGCAGTCCGGGTTCAGACCTGCTGTAGACCTGGTTCAGACCTGGTTTAGACCTGCTTTAGTCCTGGTTCAGACCTATTTCAGTCCTGCTTTAGTCCTGGTTCAGACCTATTTCAGTCCTGCTGCAGACCTGGTTTGGAACGGATTCAACCCTTGTTTAGAGATTGTTTCGATCTGATTTAGACCGCGTTTAGACCTGGTTCAGCCCTGGTTTAGTCCTGGTCTGAAGTGAAGTGCGAGAAAGTTTGAAGCGGAACAGAGATCGTTGATGAGACAGAGGCGTCACTCTCACGCGCACGGAGGCGTCACTCTCACGCGCACAGAGGCACATAACATGCGTGCTATAAACGACGCCTTTTCACGTCCGTAGATACGCGCATCTTTCTGTTATGGATGATGGTAAGTAAACTGCAGACCTCCCTGCATCAGCCAATCACAGGCCGGTACATTCTCCATGAAACACAATATTCAAATGTGTTTGTGTGTCGCACAACACAACACAACAGTAGGAGTCGTAGGACTGACAACAGATCAGAGAATCAAACTGTTCAAACACAGAACATGCAAAAATAACAAACATATGGGAGCCATCGGTCCGTATAGAGAGCGAGATGACCTATAGGCTGTAGACCCAGGACTGAGGCTGTAGACCCAGGACTGAGGCTGTAGACCCAGGTGTAGACCCAGGAATGAGGCTGTAGACCCAGGACTGAGGCTGTAGACCCAGGACTGAGGCTGTAGATCCAGGACTGAGGCTGTAGACCCAGGACTGAGGCTGTAGACCCAGGACTGAGGCTGTAGACCCAGGTGTAGACCCAGGAATGAGGCTGTAGACCCAGGAATGAGGCAGGACTGAGGCTGTAGACCCAGGACTGAGGCTGTAGACCCAGGACTGGGGCTGTAGACCCAGGACTGAGGCTGTAGATCCAGGACTGAGGCTGTAGACCCAGGACTGAGGCTGTAGACCCAGGAATGAGGCTGTAGACCCAGGACTGAGGCTGTAGACCCAGGACTGAGGCTGTAGATCCAGGACTGAGGCTCTAGACCCAGGACTGAGGCTGTAGATCCAGGACTGAGGCTGTAGACCCAGAACTGAGGCTGTAGACCCAGGACTAAGGCTGTAGATCCAGGACTGAGGCTGTAGACCCAGGACTGAGGCTGTAGACCCAGGACTGAGGCTGTAGACCCAGGACTGAGGCTGTAGATCCAGGACTGAGGCTGTAGATCCAGGACTGAGGCTGTAGACCCAGGACTGAGGCTGTAGACCCAGGACTGAGGCTGTAGACCCAGGACTGAGGCTGTAGACCCAGGACTGAGGCTGTAGACCCAGGACTGAGACTGTAGACCCAGGACTGAGGCTGTAGACCCAGGACTGAGGCTGTAGACCCAGGTGTAGACCCAGGAATGAGGCTGTAGACCCAGGAATGAGGCAGGACTGAGGCTGTAGACCCAAGACTGAGGCTGTAGACCCAGGACTGAGGCTGTAGACCCAGGACTGAGGCTGTAGACCCAGGACTGAGGCTGTAGATCCAGGACTGAGGCTGTAGACCCAGGACTGAGGCTGTAGACCCAGGACTGAGGCTGTAGACCCAGGACTGAGGCTGTAGACCCAGGTGTAGACCCAGGAATGAGGCTGTAGACCCAGGAATGAGGCAGGACTGAGGCTGTAGACCCAGGACTGAGGCTGTAGACCCAGGACTGAGGCTGTAGATCCAGGACTGAGGCTCTAGACCCAGGACTGAGGCTGTAGATCCAGGACTGAGGCTGTAGACCCAGAACTGAGGCTGTAGACCCAGGACTAAGGCTGTAGATCCAGGACTGAGGCTGTAGACCCAGGACTGAGGCTGTAGACCCAGGACTGAGGCTGTAGACCCAGGACTGAGGCTGTAGACCCAGGACTGAGGCTGTAGATCCAGGACTGAGGCTGTAGACCCAGGACTGAGGCTGTAGACCCAGGACTGAGGCTGTAGACCCAGGACTGAGGCTGTACACCCAGGACTGAGGCTGTAGATCCAGGACTGAGGCTGTAGACCCAGGACTGAGGTTGTAGACCCAGGACTGAGGCTGTAGATCCAGGACTGAGGCTGTAGATCCAGGACTGAGGCTGTAGACCCAGGACTGAGGCTGTAGACCCAGGAAAGAGGCTGTAGACCCAGGACTGAGGCTCGGGACTGAGACTGTAGACCCAGGACTGAGGCTGTAGACCCAGGACTGAGGCTGTAGATCCAGGACTGAGGCTGTAGATCCAGGACTGAGGCTGTAGACCCAGGACTGAGGCTGTAGATCCAGGACTGAGGCTGTAGACCCAGGACTGAGGCTGTAGACCCAGGACTGAGGCTGTAGATCCAGGACTGAGGCTGTAGATCCAGGACTGAGGCTGTAGATCCAGGACTGAGGCTGTAGACCCAAGACTGAGGCTGTAGACCCAGGACTGAGGCTGTAGATCCAGGACTGAGGCTGTAGACCCAGGACTGAGGCTGTAGATCCAGGACTGAGGCTGTAGATCCAGGACTGAGGCTGTAGACCCAGGACTGAGGCTGTAGACCCAGGACTGAGGCTGTAGATCCAGGACTGAGGCTGTAGACCCAGGACTGAGGCTGTAGACCCAGGACTGAGGCTGTAGACCCAAGACTGAGGCTGTAGACCCAGGACTGAGGCTGTAGATCCAGGACTGAGGCTCTAGACCCAGGACTGAGGCTGTAGACCCAGGACTGAGGCTGTAGATCCAGGACTGAGGCTGTAGACCCAGGACTGAGGCTGTAGACCCAGGACTGAGGCTGTAGACCCAGGACTGAGGCTGTAGATCCAGGACTGAGGCTGTAGATCCAGGACTGAGGCTGTAGATCCAGGACTGAGGCTGTAGATCCAGGACTGAGGCTGTAGACCCAGGACTGAGGCTGTAGATCCAGGACTGAGGCTCTAGACCCAGGACTGAGGCTGTAGATCCAGGACTGAGGCTGTAGACCCAGGACTGAGGCTGTAGACCCAGGAATGAGGCTCTAATCCAGGGATGTCAAAGTCAAATGCATCAGAGGCCAAAAAAAACCCAATATGCCACAAACCAAGGGCCGGACTGGTTCAATGTTCATCAAAACATATGAAAATGATTGCATATAACTTATTGAACCAAGACCTAACACATCCATCCATCCATTTTCTACCCTTTAATCCATTTCTGGGTCAGGGGGGTGGCAGTCAGAGATGCCACCCAAGTCTCATAGCACCAGCCCCTCACTGACCCTCTGCAGGTGGTGAGTCCACAGGAGGACGGCTGCTCTCTGAGTGTGAGCATAGCCTTGATCGACCTAACACAGTGGGTCGTAATTTATTTAATGATTAAATGAATAATCCAGTATTATTGTATGGCCCTGTCAGTAATTTATTTTCTTTTTTTTTTCAAAAGACTCAAAGAAATGTCCTTCACAGAGAAAACACACGTCCTTCACATTAAACGAATAATCCAATATTTTCTTATGGCTCTGTGGCCGAATCTGGCCCGCGGGCCCTGACTTTGACACCCATTCTCTAAACCCAGGACGGAGGCTGTAGATCAGTCACCTGTACATTGGGCTCTGTCGCCCTCTGGTGGTGGACACTGGAAACACGGTCAGCGTTTCAAGACTGATTTGTGTTTTCGTTATGTGTTATTTATATTTTGATCACACAATGAGACATGCAACATAAACAAAACAAAACATAAAAGTAAATAACAAAAATACAATTACAAGGATCATCTTACAAATGAAACTACTTTTAGGCAAATACAATCTTTATATAAAAAAGCTTTAAGATGTTTTGCCAGAAAACCTGTTTCATACCACCACTGTCGCATTCTTGAGAAGTACAACCTTCTAAACTTCGAACATTTTAAATACTTTAAATTTTCTTGTATGGTTTACAAAATAATCAATGGACTTGGACCGGGTCCGTGTACTTTTGCGTTCAATACATTTTCTATTTTTGAAAGGAAATGGAAAATCGAAAAAAGGCTATTTTGCATTTTCAGGCACACAGATATATACAAAAAAGACCATTTAGTTTTTTTTCATTGCTTATAGTTATAAGACATATATACATTGCCTTGCAAAAGTATTTGCCCCCCTTGAACCTTTCAACATTTCGCCACATTTCAGGCTTCAAACATAAAGATATAAAAATAAAAAAAAAAATCACAATCGTGAAGTGGAACCAAATTAATTGGATAATTTAAACTTTTTTAACAAATAAAAAACTGAAAAGTGGGGCGTGCAATATTATTCGGCCCCTTTGCGCTAATACTTTGTGGCGCCACCTTTTGCTGCAATTACAGCTGCAAGTCGCTTGGGGTATGTCTCTATCAGTTTTGCACATCGAGAGACTGGAATTCTTGCCCATTCTTCCTTGCAAAACAGCTCGAGCTCAGTGAGGTTGGATGGAGAGTGTTTGTGAACAGCAGTCTTCAGCTCTTTCCACAGATTCTCGATTGGATTCAGGTCTGGACTTTGACTTGGCCATTCTAACACCTGGATACGTCTATTTGTGAACCATTCCATTGTAGATTTGGCTTTATGTTTTGGATCATTGTCCTGTTGGAAGATAAATCTCCGTCCCAGTCTCAGGTCTTTTGCAGACTCCAACAGGTTTTCTTCCAGAATGCTCCTGTATTTGGCTCCATCCATCTTCCCATCAATGTTAGCCATCTTCCCTGTCCCTGCTGAAGAAAAGCAGGCCCAAAGCATGATGCTGCCACCACCATGTTTGACAGTGGGGATGGTGTGTTCAGGGTGATGAGCTGTGTTGCTTTTACGACAAACATATCGTTTTGCATTGTGGCCAAAAAGTTTGATTTTGGTTTCATCTGACCAGAGCACCTTCTTCCACATGTTTGGTGTGTCTCCCAGGTGGCTTGTGGCAAACTTTAAAAGACTTTTTATGGATATCTTTGAGAAATGGCTTTCTTCTTGCCACTCTGCCAGATGTGTGCAGTGCACGACTGATTGTTGTCCTATGGACAGACTCTCCCACCTCAGCTGTAGTTATCTGCAGTTCATCCAGAGTGATCATGGGCCTCTTGGCTGCATCTCTGATCAGTCTTCTCCTTGTTTGAGATGAAAGTTCGGAGGTAAAGGGGCCGTAAAGTAAAGTTCGTAAAGTAAAGCACGCCCCACTTTTCAGTTTTTTATTTGTTAAAAAAGTTTAAATTATCCAAAAAATGTCGTTCCACTTCACGATTGTGTCCCACTTGTTGTTGATTCATGTCAAAAAATTAAGATTGTATATCTTTATGTTTGAAGCCTGAAATGTGGCGAAATGTTGAAAGGTTCAATACTTTCGCAAGGCACTGTATATATTATAGTAACCGGATTTGGGAACTAGAAAATGCAATAATTAAAATTTTTCAATGTGTATTTCCCGGAAGTGAAACAAGTTTGTTTACTTCAGCCATTGACTTCAGCCCATGGATCTATAATAATAACTGGATAGGGTATTACTAGCTTATAGCTGTCCCATCTATGGGCACCCGTGGTACTGTAGACTAAATTCACGAGGGCTACCCAGAAAAAAGTCCCATAGAACTCAATGTAAGTTTTCTTTAAATCCACACTTTACTGCCACAAACTCTGCTCCCTGCCTTCTCACTCTGGCTCCGCTCTTCCGCTGCTCTAATGAGCAGCTCTGATTGGTCAGAGCGCGGCCGAGCCCCTCTGTGCACGTGCATGAAAGCCAGACACGCGTATTTGGCGCGACGCTAATCCACTGCGCAGAACCGGGAAGACCAGACGATGCCCAAATATAGGCGAGTTCTCTTCTCAGTGAAGTCCCATGCGCTACTGAGCACAAGCCATTCATCTGAATAGGGCGCCATCTTGGATCACCGGGGCTTGCGTCAGCCCTATTTGCTCTAAAACGCAAATGACCTCCTGTATTTGTCCAAACGCAGACGTCCTGTGATAATACTTATCCCGTGAGAATCTGCATGTCAGTGATTGTGATCGCTATTGCCGCTTCCGCTTTACTTTCTGCGGGGTTTTTTGTCAATGAGCAGAGGGGTTGCGTATCGCGGCTGTGTACACAGCTGCAGAGTCGCGGCTGCTGCTGTCTCTGTGAGGTCTATGGAGAAGTGTAGAGGACGTAATGTGTTCACTGACACGATCAGACCGATGGGTTGTATTTGTAAGTTTACTTTGCACTCTGTCATAAACGTGTTGCTGCAGCCGTTACTATTTGTCGGCTCGCACGTATCGTAGCAGTATGTGTATTTATGTATGTATTCGAGTATGAGGAGTAGTCCATACAAACTATTATTAAACATTACAGACAGCATGGGCCAGAGAACTGTAGAGCAGTAAAATGTGTGTCCTCATGTCTCTGTGGCTGCTGTGGTCCATAGACTGTATATATTAACTGTGGTCAGACGCGGCTCTCTGAACTGCGTGAAGCGGAGAGAGATGTCAGAGAAAATATAGTATTTTACAGATATTGCTTATCTCGTGTGAATGCACTGCAAAATCTCAGACGCTCTCCGTGATTATCACAAATTATCGGGGTCCACAGGTAATACTAATCGGTGCGAGTAAACAAACTTGTTTCACTTCCGGGTAATCGATTGATGCCGAAATGTGTTAAATACATATTTTAAAAAGGTTAATTTTCTAGTTCCCAAACCCGGTTATTTTAATATCTATATGTCTTATAAGCAATGAAAAAAACCAAAATGGTAATTTTTGTATATTGCTGTGTGCTTGAAAATGCAAAATAGCCTTTTTTCGATTTTAAATTTCCTTTCAAAAATAGAAAATGTATTGAACGCAAAAGTACACGGACCGCACCGCCGCCATTAAGGGAATTCATAAAGCTAAAATCCTCCTCTGGCAGAGCCACCCGGTCTAGAGGAGACTGAAGTGCCCTTCAGACATACCACCTTTGGGCAGTTCTTTCAGTTAGGGGATGTAACATCTGGAACAGCGTCACTCTCACCATCAGAGAATGCCCCACGTTTAACACATTTAGGACTCAATTAAAAAACTGGTTCCAATCAGCGATGTGCTCATTAGAGCCTACACAGAACTCTACAGGACTGATCCAAGTATCAGGATCCTCTGCACAGGTGTTTTCTTGTAAATAACTTTACACATTTATCCTAATAATGTCTCATGTTTGAACTGTACGACCTGCCCTGGCACAAAAATCCCCTTTCTACTGTGCAAGTTACAGAACGAACATTCTGATTTTATCAATGTATGAATTAAATCAACATTTGTTATGTAAGTATGAAGCCTCCATTTTTAAACTGTTTTGTTTTATAACTGTTGTTAGCATCATACACCTTGCCCAAGGACAGCAGCTGAAAACTAGCTTTGCAGCTAATGCTGACAAATTTACAGAAATGTTCATTAATGTGTAATGTCCCTGTCAAATAATCTAATAAATAAATAAGGAGAACATGCAACACACTGAGACACTGGATATGAGACTGGGCTCTCTCGGATGACGACCTGCTTCATATCAGACAGAAAGTGATGAAGCATCAGTGATGAAGCAATGAAGCATCAGTGATCAGTGATGGTGTCACAGAGTCAGGCAGAGTCAGATGGAGGTAGTGGCCCCAGAGTGGGTCCACACACTGAGGGTCCACACACTGAGAGAGGGTGACCCAAAGACCCAAAACGCAGGGCAGAAGAGGCGGGTGAGCTTTGATGCTAACGAGGTTAAGCTAGTGGCTCTGTGTCTGAGACCTTCAGAGACTTCAGATAACAGCAGTATGTGTTCATGGAGCTGCGCCACACATTTATTTTAGGCTGAGGGGGGAGGAAGATGAGGCTGAGGGAGGAGGAAGATGAGGCTGAGGGGGGAGGAAGATGAGGCTGAGGGAGGAGGAAGATGAGGCTGAGGGGGGAGGAAGATGAGGCTGAGGGGGGAGGAAGATGAGGCTGAGGGAGGAGGAAGATGAGGCTGAGGGGGGAGGAAGATGAGGCTGAGGGGGGAGGAAGAGTCACCCCTGTGTGAAGCCAGAGTGGCCCCTGCAGCAGCAGAGTCAAAGTGGACGAGCTGATTTCTAACATAACATCTGTGGCAGTAAACCACATCCTGCTGAGGGCAACGTCTGATCACCGAGAGAGAGAAGGCTTCTGGGTAATTGTGTTAGAGCCTATCACAGCTTATGTTCAGGTTCTATTGCATGTAAGTAAGTAAGTCATCTTTATTTATATAGCGCCTTTCACAGATCAGAGTCACAAAGCAGTTTACATTTGTTATTTTTGGGCATTGGTCTCTCACTCCACACAGAGATGGGAGCGGGGTCGCCAGTAAAAGAGGCACATGCCAGACCTATTGTACATGTTTTTCTTGCTGAGAGGAAAGAGTGCTATCCACTCAGCCAGCGTGCCCTGATGTCCTATTGTCCCTGATGTCCCTAATGTCCTGATGTCCCTAATGTCCTGATGTCCCTAATGTCCCTATGTCCTGATGTCCCTAATGTCCTGATGTCCCTATGTCCTGATGTACATGATGTCCCTGATGCCCTGATGTCCATGATGTCCCTAATGTCCTAATGTCCCTAATGTCCTGATGTCCCTGATGTCTCTGATGTCCTAATGCCCCTGATGTCCCTGATGTCCTAATGTCCCTGATGTCCTAATGTCCCTGATGTTCCTGATGTCCTAATGTCCTGATGTCCTGATGTGCCTGATGTCATAATGTCCCTGATGTCTCTGATGCCCTAATGTCCCTGATGTCCTATTGTCCCTGATGCCCTAATGTCCCTGATGTCCTGATGTCCTAATGTCCTGATGTCCCTGATGTCCTGATGTCCTAATGTCCCTGGTGTCCCTGATGTCCTTGATGTCTCTGATGTCATAATGTCCCTGATGTCCTGATGTCCTAATGTCCCTGATGTCCTAATGTCCCTGATGTAATAATGTCCTTATTTCCCTGATGTCTCTGATGTCCTGATGTCCCTGATGTCCTAATGTCCCTGATGTCCTAATGTCCTGATATCCTAATGTCCTGATGTCCCTGATGTCTCTGATGTCATAATGTCCCTGATGTCCTAATGTCCTGATGTCTCTGATGTCCTGATGTCTCTGATGTCCTAATGTCCCTGATGTCCTAATGTCCCTGATGTCCTACTGTCCCTGATGTCCTAATGTCCTGATGTCCCTGATGGCATAATGTCCCTGATGTTCTGATGTCCTATTGTCCCTGATGTCTTAATGTCCTTATGTCCCTGATGTCCCTGATCTCCTAAAGTCCTGATGTCCTAATGTCCCTGATGTCTCTGATGTCCCTATGTCCTGATGTCTCTGATGTCCTAAAGTCCCTGATGTCCTAATGTCCTGATGTCCCTGATGTCCTAATGTCCCTGATGTCCTAATGTCCCTGATGTCCCTGATATCTCTGATGTCCTGATGTCCGTATGTCCCTGATGTCCTAATGTCCTGATGTCCTAAAGTCCCTGATGTCCTCATGTCCTGATGTCCCTAATGTCCCTGATGTCCTAATGTCCCTGATGTCATAATATCCTGATGTCCTAATGTCCCTGATGTTTCTGATGTCATAATGTCCTGATATCCTAATGTCCCTGATGTCTCTGATGTCCTAATGTCCTGATGTCCCTGATGTCCTTATGTCCTGATGTTTCTGATGTCATAATGTCCCTGATGTCCTAATGTCCCTGATGTCTTAATGTCCTGATGTCCCTAATGTCCTGATGTCCTAATGTCCTTGATGTCCTAATGTCCCTGATATCCTAATGTCCTGATGTCTCTATGTCCTGATGTTTCTGATGTCATAATGTCCTGATGTCCCTTATGTCCATGATGTCCTGATGTCCTAATGTCCTGATGTCTCTATGTCCTGATGTCCTGATATCCCTGATGTCCCTATGTCCTGATGTTTCTGATGTCATAATGTCCTGATGGCCTAATGTCCCTGATGTCCTAATGTCCTGATGTCCCTGATGTCCTAATGTCCTGATATCCCTGATGTCCCTATGTCCTGATGTTTCTGATGTCATAATGTCCCTGATGTCCTAATTTCATAATGTCCCTGATGTCCCTGATGTCCTAATGTCCCTGATGTCTCTGATGTCATAATGTCCTGATGTCTTAATGTCCTGATGTCCCTGATGTCCTAATGTCCTGATGTCCCTATGTCCTGATGTTGCTGATGTCATAATGTCCTGATGTCCTAATGTCCCTGATGTCCTAATGTCCCTGATGTCCTAAAGTCCCTGATGTCCTAATGTCCTGATGTCCCTAATCTCCTGATATCCTTGATGTCCTAATGTCCCTGATGTCCTAATGTCCCTGATGTCCTAATGTCATAATGTCCTGATGTCCTAATGTCCCTGATGTCCTAATGTCCTGATGTCCCTGATGTCACTAATGTCCGGATGTCCCTGAAGTCCTAATGTCATAATGTCCCTGATATCCTAATGTCCCTGATGTCATAATGTCCTGATGTCCTAATGTCCCTGATGTCTTTGATGTCACAATGTCCTGATGTCCTAATGTCCTGATGTCCCTATGTCCTGATGTCTCTGATGTCATAATGTCCTGATGCCCCTTATGTCCCTATGTCCCTGATGTCTCTGATGTCATAATGACCTGATGTCCCTGATGTCCCTAATGTCCTGATGTCCTAATGTCCTGATGTCTTAATGTCCTGATGTCCTGATGTCCTAATGTCCTGATGTCATAATGTCCTGATGTCCTAATGTCCCCGATGTCCCTGATGTCTCTGATGTCATAATGTCCTAATGTCCCTGATGTCTTAATGTCCCTATGTCCTGATGTCCCTATGTCCTGATGTCTCTGATGTCATAATGTCCTGATGCCCCTTATGTCCCTATGTCCCTGATGTCTCTGATGTCATGATGTCCCTGATGTCCCTAATGTCCTAATGTCCTGATGTCCTAATGTCCCTGATGTCCCTGATGTCATAATGTCCTAATGTCCCTGATGTCCTGATGTCCCTATGTCCCTGATGTCCCTGATGTCATAATGTCCTGATGTCCCTGATGTTCCTTAATGTCCTGATGTCCTAATATTCTGATGTCATAATGTCCTGATGTCTTAATGTCCAGATGTCCCTGATGTCTCTGATGTCCTAATGTCCTGATGTCATAATGTCCTGATGTCCTAATGTCCCTGATGTCCTAATGTTATAATGTCCTAATGTCCTAATGTCCCTGATGTCCCTGATGTCTCTGATGTCATAATGTCCTGATGTCCCTATGTCCTGATGTCATAATGTCCTGATGTCCTAATGTCCTGATGTCCTAATGTCCCTGATGTCTCTGATGTCATAATGTCCTAATGTCCCTGATGTCTTAATGTCCTGATGTCCCTATGTCCTGATGTCCCTATGTCCTGATGTCCCTATGTCCTGATGTCTCTGATGTCATAATGTCCTGATGCCCCTTATGTCCCTATGTCCCTGATGTCTCTGATGTCATGATGTCCCTAATGTCCTAATATCCTGATGTCATAATGTCCTGATGTCCTAATGTCCCTGATGTCTCTGATGTCATAATGTCCCTGATGTCCTGATGTCTCTGATTTCATAATGTCCTGATGCCCCTTATGTCCCTGATGTCATAATGTCCTGATGTCCCTAATGTCCTGATGTCCTAATGTCCTGATGTCTTAATGTCCTGATGTCCCTGATGTCTCTGATGTCCTAATGTCCTGATGTCATAATGTCCTGATGTCCTAATGTCCCTGATGTCCTAATGTCCTGATGTCCTAATGTCCCTGATGTCCCTGATGTCTCTGATGTCATAATGTCCTGATGTCCCTATGTCCTGATGTCTCTGATGTCATAATGTCCTGATGCCCCTTATGTCCCTGATGTCTCTGATGTCATGATGTCCCTAATGTCCTGATGTCATAATGTCCTGATGTCCTAATGTCCCTGATGTCCCTGATTTCTCTGATGTCATAATGTCCTGATTTCCTAATGTCCCTGATGTCCTAATGTCCTGATGTCCCTATGTCCTGATGTCTCTGATTTCATAATCTCCTGATGCCCCTTATGTCCCTATGTCCCTGATGTCATAATGTCCTGATGTCCCTAATGTCCTGATGTCCTAATGTCCTGATGTCATAATGTCCTGATGTCCCTGATGTCCTAATGTCATAATGTCCTGATGTCCTAATGTCCCTGATGTCCTAATGTCCTGATGTCCCTATGTCCTGATGTCTCTGATGTCATAATGTCCTGATGCCCCTTATGTCCCTATGTCCCTGATGTCTCTGATGACATAATGTCCTGATGTCCCTAATGTCCTAATATCCTGATGTCATAATGTCCTGATGTCTTAATGTCCTGATGTCATAATATCCTGATATCCTAATGTCCCTGATGTCCTAATGTCCCTGATGTTCCTATGTCCTGATGTTTCTGATGTCATAATGTCCTGATGTCCTAATGTCCTGATGTCCCTGATGTCCTAATGTCCCTGATGTCCTAAAGTCCCTGATGTCCTAATGTCCTGATGTCCCTGATGTCCCTAATGTCCCTGATGTCCTAATGTCCTGATGTCCCTGATGGCCTGATGTCATAATGTCCTGATGTCCTAATGTCCCTGATGTCCTAATGTCATAATGGCCTGATGTCCTAATGTCATAATGTCTTGATGTCCTAATGTCCCTGATGTCCTAATGTCCCTGATGTCCTAAGGTCCCTGATGTCCTAATGTCCTTGATGTCCCTGATGTCATAATGTCCTGATGTCTTAATGTCCCTGATGTCCCTATGTCCTGATGTCATAATGTCCTGATGCCCCTTATGTCCCTATATCCTGATGTCCCTGATGTCCTAATGTCCTGATGTCCTAATGTCCTGATGTCCCTATGTCCTGATGTTTCTGATGTCATAATGTCCTGGTTTTCCAATGTCCTGATGTCCTAATGTCCTGATGTCCCTATGTCCTGATGTTTCTGATGTCATAATGTCCTGATGTCCTAATGTCCCTGATGTCCTAATGTCCTGCTGTCCTAATGTCCTGATGTCCCTATGTCCTGATATTTCTGATGTCATAATGTCCCTGATGTCCTAATGTCATAATGTCCCTGATTTCCCTA